TCACGGGTACAATTCTTGTCAGATTTTTATAAAACTTATACTATAGGTTAATTATAGCAATATTTCGGACAAGTTTTATAATGGTGGATGATCGACTTTTTTAAAGGACTTATGCCCCTTGGAAATATTAAATTTATGGAAAATGGCCTCGTTAGCGCTCTCACGGGTACAATTCTTGCCAGATTTTTATAAAACTTATTCTATAGGTTAATATCAGCAATATCTCAGACAAGTTCTATAATGGTAGACGATCGACTTTTTTTAAAAAGAGTTATGCCCCTTGGACATATTAAATACGTGCTACGCGGGGGACATTGGAACTCTGTTCTTTTATTCCCATTTTTTTATTGGCGTTTTTTTTTATTATTAAATATTCTTTAATATTTCAACTTATTTTCACTTATCTAATGTGTCTTTTTCTGTTATCAATTCGAGAGTACAATAGAAGTAGTTTATATATAACGATGTCCTTGAAATATAAGAAAGAGGGGTAGCATTTATAAACTACTGTACTATCGTATACATATGGATAAGATCAATCTTACATTGGGGCAGCTTATTCGAGCTGCCCTCTTATAAAAAAAGGAAAATGAACTGAATTAATATAGAACTTCATTAAAAACATATGTAGCTGAGAAATAACGGGGGATTCAAGCTCCAAGTGCTTGTGCTTAAACTGCAGATTAAAAAAAATCAGAAATCAATATCGCGTGACCTTCAGAGACAAAACAAAATGAATGTTGGACGGACCTCAACTGGAGAAAATTAAATTTTATTTTAAAAGAGTGAAAATTAACTAAATTCTTTCTAAAACTATCAACAATGTGAGCAAATAAAGACAGTTAATCACTTCCTATACAAGATAAAAACTGTGGTCAATCGACCCAAATTTGATATGATTTGAAATCATCTTAGGATAAACTATAAAGGTCAAATTACATATAAAGCAGATAGTAAATTTATATAAGCTGATAAACAAATTCATATATCTACATTAGATATATTTATAAACGTGTGTAGAATTTTAATGAAGATTTCAGCGTTCATGGTGCGAATAAGCTCATGGCACAACAACTGTTAAACATGAACCATATGACAAATAATTAAAACGTTCAGCTTATAATTAAAACCGGTCTGCCACCCAGGCTCTCTGATAAATGACTGGGACATTAGCCTTTTTCGTCTGGTATATATATATATATAAGATTCCTAACATCACTGAAGAGACATTAATTGTCGAAATCCGGATATGGTGTACTATTTTTTGCACCTTTTGTTTGCGGTATACCATCTTTTCCGCAAGTTTATTGTTTTCTGTTTGGTATTAAATTAAAAGTTAAGATCAATTTTGTTACGTATGGTGATCCGTTTATTTGGCAATCGCCAATGGAAGTCAGCAGGGTTTAAGAACATCCGTTGTTCGACCTGCTAGTCAAATGCGTTTTGTTAAAATATACTTTTTCACTTTTTTGGTCTTTTGGAAAATGTTGTTTGTGCTGTATTTAGACCCCTCTACTAAGAAATTTGTTTTGCATGCACACGTATAAAAATTGCGGTTTTTATCCAACGCAATCATAGGTTTGAACGTTGTTTTCAATTTAGACTTGTTTATATTTTTTCGTTTGGGCTTGTATTATATTTGCCTTCGGGTTCATATGATCCGTTCTTCCTATTTTGACTCTTTCAAAATTCAAGAGTCTATCCTAAATTGAGGTAAATTATATGACCTTCCAAATACCGTTTCGATTCCTAACATCACTGAAGAGACATTAATTGTCGAAATCCGGATATGGTGTACAAACTTTTGCACCTCGTGTTTGCGGTATACCATCTTTTCCGCAAGTTTATTGTTTTCTGTTTGGTAATAAATAAATAAAAAGATCTATTTTGTTACATCTTGTGATCCGTTTATTTGGCAATCGCCACTGGCAGTCAACAGGGTTTAAGAACATCAGTTGTTCGACCTGCTAGTCAAATGCGTTTTGTTAAAATATACTTTTTCACTCATTTGGTCTTTTGGAAAATGTTGTTTGTGCTGTATTTAGACCCCTCTACCAAGAAATTTGTTTTGCATGCACACGTATAAAAATTGCGGTTTTTATCCAACGCAATCATAGGTTTGAACGTTGTTTTCAATTTAGACTTGTATATATATATATATCAAGACTGTATCACTTGACTGAGTTAGCCTTCTCATGGTATCACATACGAAACAGTTATATATTATGGTCAGTACTTTATGGCTTCAGCATGCATAATGGGATTTATCTTATCAATAATATTTCCATATAAGCTATCTTGACACTTCATTACAGTGTTTATAACATTGTAGCTTCATTGCACTTCAGTCAAGACTGTTAGAAGATTATCGTTCTTTTTAAATTTCATAATTCATGCTTGCTTCTTTGGTTATTCAAATCAATTGTTATTTGCTCAAAAAATCGCTTGACGGAACTTTTTTTATAGGTTTTTCTGATGCTGTCCTGTTATTTCAATGTCCCAGGTTACGACAGGAAGGATTGAGTGCTCCAAATCTCTTTTACTCCACCACATTTTTATGTGCCTTTCCCGAGTTAAGAGTCTGTAATTCAGTGGTTATCGGTGGTTGCTGTCTGTCTTTTTTTCTTGATTTTCTTTTGTTATAAGTCAGGCCGCTGGTGTTTCACATTTTGTCATGACGGGGGCTTTTATAGCTGAATAGGTGTGAGTTTTGATCATTGTAGAAGGCCGTGCAGCGACTTATATATAGTTACTAAATTACACATCATTTGGAATCTCGTGGATAGTTGTCTCATTGGCAATCACACAACATCTTCTTATTTTTTTTTTATGTTGAGGAGTCAAGCCGCTTTACATTTAAATGTTCTTTTTTTAAAGTATGTGCAGTACAAGGCTCGGTTTAGTTTTTGCTTACATATGTTCTATGATCTTTTTTTCAATGCTTATTGGTTTGCTTTTTGCAAGTCTTATCTTGCTTAATATGCTTGCATAATCAAGGATGCACATTTTGTTTGATTAAATTTATGATCTGTTTGCATGTATTACTTGCATGTATATATTATTTGGTTATATTATATGTTTTTGGATGTGTTGACTTTAAAATAAACTTTTATGCTTATGCTTTCTGCCAGATAATGGGCCTGCCATGACTGGTGCGCATACGGACCCCCCCCCCCCCCCCCCCCCCAATAATATATGACCTTCCTTTGTTATTGCAACTATGTCATTTTCTATTTTATAGAGCATGGTAAGTCTTGCATGCATCTCTTCGTCTTTGTTCCAAAGATCTCCATTCGAAGTAATTGAGCATCTTGCTTACACGTGATTGATCATGGTGCATATTCACGTGATTGATCATGGTGCATATTCATAAAACATCGTGCTGCTCGTCTCTAGACCATCTCGAGTCGGTCAATTTTTGTTTTAAAGTATGGATCTCATACTGGACTGGTGTATTCTGTTGTTGGTCTTCTATATGCATTTGCCTTTCCTGAAGTTCATCCAATGTTCATATTTCGTTTTAGGAAGCCGATTGTTCTGTTGGCTATAAATTCAATGCATATATATTATTAACATAGTCATTCAATTTGAGTTCGGATGTGAATGTGCAGCCTATAGGTATTTGGTGTTTTTGACAGGTTCTAGAGTTTATGTTTATATTTACACTATATCTCTTCTTTTCACGTTCATCTGATCTAATTTTCACTTCTGTAGATACCATTGCCGAACAGTTTAAAAAAGATTTCAACCTGAGACTATATCATAGAATCACTTTCAAAATTCAAGATTTTTATTGAATAATTAAGGACTCTCAATGGACATATACTCAAAATATAATAATTTCACAATGATTATAGCATTACAAAATTATGAAAGATACATGTTTCAGTGCACATACAATTGTATAAAACGGCAATGATATTGTATGAAATATATCATGGAATATAACAAAACGTCGCGTGTTTTTTACGTGTATAATTATCGTAAGATCCGCGTTTGATGTTGTGGCAATTGGTTTTGGTAAATAGTTGTCTCGATTACATACATGGTCATACATGTTTTCTCTCGGAATACTAACCCCTTGTTTTATTAATTTTGTATTTACATTGTGTCATAGATCAAATTTATTCGTTCAGTGTATGTTCACTTGTTTTTGTTAATATGTCTTTTGATTGAGTTATAAGCCATTTCAATTGATATGTTATAGTGTGTCTTTCTATGTTGTGATGTTACACTATTGTTTCAGGTAGGGTGAAGGTTGGCGCCTATTAAAACGTTTAAACCCGCTGCATTTGTTTGCACCTGTCCTAAGTCAGGAACCTGGTGTTCAGTGGTTGTCGTTTGTTGATGTGGTTCATATAAGTGTTTCTCGTTTCTCGTATTTTATATAGATTAGACCGTTGGTTTTCCTGTTTGAATGGTTTTACACTAGTCATTTTGGGGGCCTTTATATCTTGCTGTTCGGTGTGAGCCAAGGCTCCGTGTTAAAGGCCGTATTTTGACCTATAATGGTTTACTTTTACAAATTGTGACTTGGATGGAGAGTTGTCTCATTGGCACTCACACCACATCTTCTTATATCTAAATAAAACAATCATTTTCTTTTGTTTCGGTAGATATGTGGTTCAATTGACTTTTGAAAAACTGGTACTCATTTCGAACGTTGGTCTCAGTGAACCGATCAGTTTCAGAGTTCAAAAGTCAATAAAACCACATATGAGGTAAATATGTGGTTTTATTGACTTTTGAACTCGGAAACTGATCAAAAGACAATAATTATATAATATTACATAGAAAATATTAGCATGAATTAGTTAGATTGGAAGGTTTTGTAAATCTTACTTTTGCTCAGGTTTTTTTTAAGTAACCAAGTATTTTTCATATACTTGCACTTTTAGTTATTTTTACGGAATTCTCCAATTATTCCGACATCGGTTAAAAAACAGAGATAATACATCCATGTCTACAGTATGTTTGACCCGACATAGATAAATCAATAATGTAAGAGATATGATTGGACTTCGTTGTAAACATGTGCATTTTTTTTTGTAGGTTGTCTATGATCTTTTCTAGCAGTCATGAATGTATTTAATTCGTAAACTCTAAGTCCATGGCCTTTATAGTTAAAACGGTGAAGACCGTTCGAAATAATTGGAAGAAATCTGTAGTTGCTGCTGTTGCTGTGTATTATGTTGGAAGATTTGCAGTTCGAAAATATAAGTGAGTTTGACGTGCCAAATGCTTGTTGCTCTTACTCTAAGTCAGAGGTTTCTCACAGAACTACAGGGTTTTAATATCCTTGAATACCCATACTGGCAGCACAGTCTGCTCGGGACTTAGAGGACTTTGGTGAGCGAATTACATTTGAACCATAAATATAATACACCTTATCGCTATTTGTCTGTCATAACTGGACATCACAAAGGTTCCCGTAAAATTAATACGTCACAATAGAAAATGTCTGACGCTACAAAGGAAAACTGATTGTTGTATTATGTCAAAAGTTCAAGTGGCACAGATTCTTGGGTCAAGTGGCGCAGATTTCCAAATGATTAATTATTGACGTAACAATAGGATTTATGTTATTGTTAAGTCAATGCATTTCAATATATGCAATAAATTAGAATACTACTTGAAAACCTTCATACATTTGTACATATACCTGCAAACTTTCATGATTAAGGCATGAACTATATGATTTACCCTTCATACAAACCCCTCTGAAAAAACCAACATATTGAACAAGCAATTTCAGTCTGCTTTCACATCAGAAACTAATACAGAAATACCAACGAAAGAATCTAGTACACACCCTAAAATGAAATGAATTAACATCAGTGAGGAAGGTGTATACAAACTCATAAAAAACATAAACACCAACAAAGCTTCAGGTCCAGATACTATCGCTGGCAAAATACTGAAGGAAAACATTGAAATAACCTCGGACATACTTACAATCATTTTTGGCAAATCTCTAGAAACGTGCAAAGTACCATCAGATTGGAACCATGCAAACGTTACACCAGTATATAAAAAAGGAGACAAACATCATCCTGGTAATTATAGACCAATTTCACTTACCTGCATCTCATGTAAATTACTTGAACATATACTAGCTAGCAACATGACGAAACACCTCGAATCAAATAAAATACTATATGAACTACAACACGGATTTAGAGCAAAAAGATCATGCGAATCTCAAGTAATATCTCTTATACACCAACTAGCTCAAAACAATGATAAAAATATACAAACTGACTTAGTAATCATGGATTTTGCCAAAGCATTCGACAAAGTGCCACACAAACACTTACTTTACAAATTAAAACACTATGGCATCTCAGATCAGGCAACAAATTGGATTCAATCATTTTTATCTAACAGAACTCAAACAGTCCTTCTCGAAAACACAACATCTGAAAAAATTCCAGTAACATCAGGCGTTCTTCAGGGCACTGTACTAGGACCTGACTACCTTAAACACAGCCAAATAAGACTCTTTGCAGACGACAGCATTATCTACCGGCCTTTTACCTGCCAAAACGATTGTCTTAAGATTCAAGAAGACATAGAAGCAGCTATAAAATGGGAGCAAGACTGGCTCATGTCATTCCACCCTGACAAATGTAACATCTTAAGAGTCTCAACAAAGAAAAAACAAATACATTTTTATTATAACATGAATGGCCATATCCTAGAACAAGTACAATCAGCAAAATATCTAGGCATTACAATCTCTTCAGATCTTAAATGGAACAAACATATACAACAATCAGCAGCAAAAACAAATCAATCCTTATCATTCGTCAGACGAAATCTAAAAATTAGTTCAAAATTAGTAAAGGAAAGAGCATATCAAACTATAGTAAGACCAAAATTAGAATATTGCTGCACAGTTTGGGATCCACAGTATTCCACACACTTCAGAAAACATATACAGACTGGAACAAGTGCAAAGAAGAGCTGCACGATATACTTGCAACAGATTTCACAACACCAGCAGTGTATCTGAAATGCTTCAAAATCTAAACTGGCAAACCCTACAAGAACACAGGCTAAAAACCAGACTTCAAATGTTCCACAAAGTTTTAAACAATGAAATTGCAATACCATGGCAGGATATTCTCATAAAAAGCCAGTCCAAAACAAGATCTACCCATCAACAAACATACAGACAACTCCAATGCAACAAAGACAGTTTTAAATTCTCATTCTTCAGCCAAACAATTAAAGATTGGAATAAATTACCACCTGAAATTTCAAACCAAACCTCTACAGACAACTTTAAGGATGCACTTACGCATGAAGTCCTCCTTAAAACATTAATTTTTCTCACTTAAATTAAATGTGCCTATTGTTTTTATCTTAATATGAAAAAATATATAAAAAATGTAAAAATTAAAAGTTAAATCATAAAGTTTATAAATAAAAGAAAAATTGAAATTAACTTGAAAGCAACCTCACTCAGGCATGCGCTGGAAAGTAATCTTCAAAATGTTGATGGTTTTCTGTACATAAAGAAGAAGAAGATTTTGACCCCCTTCCCCATTGCACGGTCATGATCTGAAAAAGCCCTGAAACATGATTTTGTAAAAATCTATGCTAAAATTTTGATGGTGTATGATTTTGTACTTTTCCCATCGGAGACAATCGTGATCAGCAAAAATTAACTTATCAAAATCAGTATTTTACTTTGATCAGGTTTTCATTTCCTGATTAATGGAGGCATTGTAAAAACTCAAATAATCAAACTTGTTTTTAACTTTTGAGTTGTATTCCTCTGTCTGTATGTCAGAACTGTAAAAATCATGATAATGGTGAACATTTTATCATTTGCAAGAAGGTCCTTATCTTATCTTATTACAATGTAGTAATGTGTGGGGTTTAATTTAGAGACTGATTGACAAATTCAACAATAGGAATATATCACATGTCTTTTTGCAAAGTCTGCAATAGGGAATGCAAAGTTGACCATGGTGGTGTGAATAACGTTTCAAAGCATGCAAGGACTGTTTTAACTTCCTCAGAAGTCCTTCAAAGTTAGAATGTAACCAAGTCTGTCAGTCACTTCTTTGTACAACAAGATGATGAGCAACTCAAGAAGGTACAGTTAGCATCGATAGTAATATAAAAGAACTGTTCATGGAGAGTTGTCTCATTGGCACTTTACCACATATCCTTATAAACTGCATTTGTGACGGTCAAATGACCAATTGAAGGCGGCAACTCTTCAACTACAGAACTGTTATCACTTAAAGAGAAACTCCAAAAAAAATATCTTAATATGAAAAAGCAAACTGGATAAATATAAACAATGACCTCAATACAACACTTTGCACCATCAATACAATGTATGACAAAAGCAATGCAGATGCACTTTGGAACATTCAACATTGATCTTCTCAAACCAATAGTCAAATGTACCACAGAAAATGATCACATACATTGTACAAGCACAGACTTCCATGGATAAACAACAGACAAAGGAAACTCATAACCAAGAAAATCAAGTTTTATAAAAATAGAAATACATTGAGACTACATGTACATCGAACAAATTATTTGTGATTTACCAATCAAAGAACCAGACCAACATCAGTCTATTCCAGCACATCAGAAAGCACTAAAAAGGATAATACAGGAATTGACTATCCCACTTAGCTTTCTGTGTCTCAACAAAATTTTCATTTTTGCTGGTCTTCTGTACTTCATACTGATACATGTAGTTGTATAAACTGACGAGCATATTTAATGTCACCTCACTGTGGATTTTTTTTCATCCATTTTTAACTACAAAACAATGGAGCTCTAATGATATTATCTTCATTGATCTTTCTGAAATTGTCTGAAATTATTGTGAGGTCATTTTTGGTGGGATTAATTAAATCAACTCAGAACCAACAGAAGCAGAATTGTCACAGATTTATTTTCTTTATTTGGTTATATTTTTTTAGTGAAGGGTTCTCATTTTCTGATGGTACATTTGTATAAACAGAATCTGTTTATTATTTTTTCTTAAAATTTGCTATATATTTCAAACAAATTAAATTGTATATCAATATTATGCATTTTCACATCAGGTGAAGACGTAAACAACCGAAGACAAAATTATGTCCAAGTATACTTCAGAAAATTCTGTGTCTTTCAACATATGGTTTGTTATTAAAAATCCAACCATATAAATGCCTTCAAAATATTTTTTTTAAATGTGATATTATATGAAATATATAGCAAAAAATTGCAGTTGATGATTACTTATTGCATGCATAGCACTGTGTGTACATACATACGAGTTGTATATACAGAATGTACACAGCCATGTATCACCATCACTGCTGGTGATCCGATGGATAAATCTGTTGTAGAGTTGTCACTGGTTCAGACGTACTTATGAATATAATTATTTCTGTGACTGTATCTTGCATTAATTTGTAGGATCCTTTACAATAGATATTTCAGCTGATCTGTAACTATTCCATCTTCATGTCTTATATATCATGTACTGTATTACGACGCTAGATTAAAACTGACGAGGAAAGGTAACACCTGGCAACCGAAAGCTTTATTATTGTGAAGCCTAGGTGGTCGGGTGGTCTAGCGCGTCGGATACAGTGCAGGCAAATTGGTGTCACGATATCTCAGTAGCATGAGTTTGAATCCCGGCGAGGGAAGAACTAAAAATTTGCGAAAGCAAATTTACAGATCTAACATTGTTGGGCTGATGTTTAGACATGTTGTATATACAGAATGTACACAGCCATGTATCACCATCACTGCTGGTGATCCGATGGATAAATCTGTTGTAGAGTTGTCACTGGTTCAGACCTACTTATGAATATAATTATTTCTGTGACTGTATCTTGCATTAATTTGTAGGATCCTTTACAATGGATATTTCAGCTGATCTGTAACTATTCCATCTTCATGTCGTATATATCATGTACTGTATTACGACGCTAGATTAAAACTGACGAGGAAAGGTAACACCCGGCCACAGAAAGCTTTATTATTTTGAAGCCTAGGTGGTCGGGTGGTCTAGCGCGTCGGATACAGCGCAGGCGAATTGGTGTCACGATATCTCAGTAGCATGAGTTCGAATCCCGGCGAGGGAAGAACTAAAAATTTGCGAAAGCAAATTTACAGATCAAACATTGTTGGGCTGATGTTTAGACGAGTTGTATATACAGAATGTACACAGCCATGTATCACCATCACTGCTGGTGATCCGATGGATAAATCTGTTGTAGAGCTGTCACTGGTTCAGACGTACTTATGAATATAATTATTTCTGTGACTGTATCTTGCATTAATTTGTAGGATCCTTTACAATAGATATTTCAGCTGATCTGTAACTATTCCATCTTCATGTCTTATATATCATGTACTGTATTACGACGCTAGATTAAAACTGACGAGGAAAGGTAACACCCGCCCACCGAAAGCTTTATTATTGTGAAGCCTAGGTGGTCGGGTGGTCTAGCGCGTCGGATACAGTGCAGGCGAATTGGTGTCACGATATCTCAGTAGCATGAGTTCGAATCCCGGCGAGGGAAGAACTAAAAATTTGCAAAAGCAAATTTACAGATCTAACATTGTTGGGCTGATGTTTAGACGAGTTGTACATACATGTACATGTACATACATATTAACTTCAAGAACAAAAACAAAATTGGAAAAAAATCTTTTATATTTTTGTTCTTGTATATCTCTATTTAAGTGATGTTTCTGTATATTTTCAGTGAAGATTTACTGAGAAGAGAATTTTGTAATGAAGCAAAGGTAGAAAGTATAGTTATTTTATGATAATTGTTTTGCATTATGATTCAAATATGAAAAAAAGAAGTAATGGGGTATTAGACAAATTCACAAAGATACAAAAAAAACAAATAGAGGTCAACATATAGTCCACATCAATATGTCAAGCTCTGAATCACCATGATTCTGGAGAAGATTGGAAGATATTTATTTGAACAAAGACTGTCAAAGATCTGCCAACAACACCAAATTCTCCTAAATAACACAGCACAACCATGGACAATATTCCAGACTTTAGTTTTAAGATCTGGACACTCTTCCCTTTAATCTTGATCAGGAACATTAGAAGCATGTAAATGTTACATTCATCATTCCTAACATTTTATAAATGTAAGACCTATCCAAGTGATATATGTCCTTAATAAACCTACACTATTCCATGTAGGAGAAGGCAACCAACAGTCTTATACACCAACCATTTGTTTTTGTAATCATTTTTTTATCTTGTTAATTTGTATGTTTGCTTACATAATCAGAAATGAATTGGTTTTTTAGTAGTTAATGCAGTTTGATGTACATGTGGTTTCAATCTTTTTGTTTATTCTTTTTTAAATTTTCACATATTTCACATGTAATTTGAATATGATAGATTTGATTTGAGATTTTTTTCATTAATTATAACATATACATATGTTTATTTACAGAAATATGGGAAAGTGAAAATAGGTGTGACAGATAAACCAAGAAGAATTATAGTGTTTTTGAACCCAGCTTCTGCATCAGGGTATTTTATATTAGAAATCTTATTTGTTACCGTTAATTTTACATTGAGTCTGTTCTATTACTTACAACTGATATTAAATCTTGTCTGAAATTGGATGGAAAACGTCCCTATTGTAGATATCAATTTCTATTGATTTTGAAATCACTAGGTCAAAGGGCAGGTTAAAAAAAAGGTGCATCAAAATTTTGTTACAGCAAATTTAACCAATAAATGGATGATGCTCTTGAATGAGAATATAGGTCTCTAGGTTTAATGTCAATTTACAAAATACCAGTTTGAATAAAAATTACGGTGACTAAAAAAAATCACAATTAATTACCTTTTACAGCCAGTTCTCATGAAAAGAATTGAGTTTTTTTTTATCCAAATTCTCTCTCTAGATGATTGAAAACAAAGTGTGTAATATTGCGTAAATAAAGTCAGAATGAGTTACTGGTTTTCAAATCACAATTCATTGCTTTTCTAATAATTTAACTGGAAAAACTGGAATGATTAAGATATGTTCATAGTAAAACCCTTTCACTACCTAATAAACTTAATATCATTGAAGCATTTGTTTCAGTTTGATACAATTGTGTCACGTGTCATAAAATAGATAGTGATCACATCTTGCATTTTTATCAAGATCACATTTTGTTTATCCACAACTCCTTAAAACAGCTTGACATAATTCAATTACAGAGATTCTTCTCCAGGACATGCAGTTGTGCAACGGCTATTTTTATTTATTTGAGTGATTTTGGGTTTTCTCATTTAAAAACATGGACCTTTTCAGCTTAAATCAGTCTGCTAATCATCATCTCCTTGAAAATAGCTTGACAGAATTCCAGATGTTTTGAAAGGACATGAAGTATTATGCTTGCTATTAAACATTTTGATCTTAGTAATTTTTCCCGTACCTAAACAATTTTTACACTTTTTCTGCTTATTTTACTTTTACTTGGAGATGATAGGTGATACAAGTCCATAGAATATTCTCACATTTTTCTATAACAATATTATTATTTTGTTTACAGAGGAGCTGTGAAATCTTTCAATAAGAATGCTGCACCAATATTACATTTAGCGGGAATAGAAGTGAATGTTGTCAAGGTATGTTATTACATTGTATTTTATTGACAGAGTATGATTATATGGTTGATTGATTTTATACATGTCACCAGTAAAACTGCATTTGCAACTGTCAAATCTCCAAATTGAAGTCATTAACTCTTGAACTACAGTACTGTTATTCCATAAATTGAAGGTTGATATCAGACAGATTGATTTGTAAGAGTTGAATGTGATGCTGGTAAAATAATTTAGGAAAAAATGTGTAGCTCAGCTTAAATTTTAGAGGCCATGGGCTATTTGGCCCTGTAAATTTCCAGCCTTGGTTTAAAAGTATGGATGTAAGGACATTAAAGTATGAAATACTAACATTGTTCACATGTATAGAACACTGCTTCAGTTTATGCTTCTACATGTAATTGTTAAAAATGCATATTAGCTTTAAATATTATGCCAGTCTTTTGCATTTGTTCTTGTCTTTTACATGTGTCTAAATTTCTGTAGCATTCATGGGACAAATCTTGTTGCATACCATTGCAGAGAAAAAATCAACAAAATGCACAACTGCTGTGCCAAATAATTATTGATTGATATTTTTTAAAGAGAGATAAAATATGTGCAACACGGAGGACATTGGAAATCTGGTCTTTTATTTAATTTGTATTTAATTTTATCAGACAGAATTTGAGGGACAGGTGAAGAAGTTTCTAACAGCTTTAGAGAAACATGAAACTAATGCAGTAGTGGTTGCCGGGGGAGATGGAACATTACTAGAGGTAGATATTTTTATAACATTGTTTGATTGATTGTTGTTTACGTAATTTCCAGTGGCAATTATTTCATGCTTATTGAGGACACAAAACAATTATTTGTCAATGCAATTTGAAGGTTCTGCGAGGTGGTACAACAAGGGCGAAAGGCATGAAATTTGGAAAGCCACTGTAAAATGAGGGTGTTGGAAAGGGGCATAATTATACCTGGCAACAGACCACCTACAGACGCCTCAAAGAGTTATTCTAATGATAAAATAATCAGCTTTTGTGTGAAAATATGTGATACATGGCATTTTAATTTTACCAACTAAATAATTGGCAAAGTTCATTTGAAATCCTTTAGTTATTTGAAAATTTGTATGGCATATAATAAAATGCATCTATCCCTTAATTCTTTTTCAGGCAGTGACTGGTTTTATGAGGAAGGATGATATGGTATGTAATATAAGTACATTTTCCATTAATATAAGATACATTGTATGTATAAAGATAGAAGAGAAATGAGAAGCGTAAGTGCTAATGTTAATTTGTCAATATATGTTTTTAAATGTACCCGAAAAAGGGAGTTCAAAATGCCTGATTAATTCAGTGTTAATGCATCCCTTCCTTTCTTCTTGTCTGCTTTGAATAAAGAATTACATCTAATAGTTATTTAACTTGGGCTTACATGTCTTTCAATATTTAAAAGACCATTAAACAAAATCAAATACAGTAATATTTATTATTACAGCTATCTTAGGTCATGTAGAATCCATGCTTCATCCAAACTTCAAACAGATTTTACAATACTTCAACCAAGAAATAAGAGGAAAAGTTGATTCAATGATTTTTGTTTACATTTGCCAACGTGTTAATATATGCTAAGAAGAGGACACCCTAATTATCTTTTAAATTTTTAAATCATTTTAATCATTTGCCTTATCAATGTTATTTTATGTCATGCAATTTTAATGGAAACAAGAGAATGGGATAGTCCAGTGAAGTAAGAATTTTTAAAATGCCTTAAAAAACAAAAAGAATTGTTTCAGATACATCTCCTTGGTTAAGTTATTCATTTCTGTCGTATTAATTCTTTTATGATGATCAACACTTAACAAAATTAATGTCCATTTTAAGTTTACCTGGCCTATTGTGCAATGTGTCCTCAGTCCATCCACGTAAATTTTTTGAAAGATCTTCTTCTCTGAAATTACTGGGCCTAATGTTACTAAACTTAAACTGAATGTTCCTTAGGGAATCTTGTAAAAAATTGTATTTGGGGAATTTGATTCACCAACAAACATAGCTGCCGATGCTAAAAATAGAAAATTGGGGTAATACTGCAACTTTGGAGTATATATAAAAAAATAAAGCAGTTAGAGCAAAACTTACAAAATAATCAGCAGGTCATCGATCTATGAACCATGAAACTTTTAGATAAATCAGACATTCCATTTGGTAGTTATTGCCCTTGAAATAGTCATGTTAAGCAATTTTCACTTTTTGGTTATTCAAAATATCTTTAAAATTTTTAAAGAAAGAGAAAAACTTTAAATAGTAAAAAGGATCAGTAAGATAAGATCTACAAAAAAGGCAATATGGCTGGAGTTGTCAACTGACTTCCTGGAGGAGTTTTTGCACTTGATTGATGATTTTTACCTATTTTTATACGCCCGTTTACGGGACGTATTATGGTATACAGTTATCCGTCTGTCCGTCCGTCGTCAACATGTCAGACATTAACTCAAAAAAGCTTTAACCAATATGCATGAAACTTTGGTGAATTGTTTATATCTATTGACGTGAGCTCCCTTTAGAATTTTATAAATTTTAGATTTTACATTTCTGAGTTATGGGGTTTTATTCATTAAAAAAGGGTGGATTTTCCAGTTTTTGGACAATAACTCAAAAATGCTTTCATCAGTTCTCATGAAACTTTGGTGAATTATTTATAGCTATTGATGTAATCTCCCTATTGATTTTCATAAATTTCAAATATGACATTGAGAAGAAATTGAACTTTATTTGTTTATAGTCTGACAACAGATTTACTAAGTATTGCGCAACAGCACAGTGTATTGCACAACAGCAAGAAATCTTTAATTGAATATAAATTCAATTCATATAACCAATTTCAAGTTCTTTGACTACATTTATTCAGAAACCTATAATATGTCAAATATTTAATTACAATCCAAATACAGACCAGTATCAAGCTTGAATATTGTGTCCATTTTTGCCCCAACTGTTCAGGGTTGGACCTCTGCGGGCGTATCCAGCTGCGCTCAGCAAAGCAGTTTATTTTGTGTTTGCGGAAACAAAAGTTGATAGAGAGAAACTGTTTATAGCAAAATTGATTTATTTACTGAATCAATCGCTGTTGAATGACGATTTTAAACATTTCTTAGCATATTTCATTGAACTACAGTAGATAGAGAGTAACAGTAAAATTTAAAAATTATAAATTAAAATCTTCATCATATAAGTTAACATAGTCAAAATCATCAGTTGATTCATTATAGAAGTTATTGTCCTTGATTGACGATATTTACCTATGTTTTATGTTTTATCTTTTACAAAAACTATAATAGATTATAGGAGAAATTTTAAATAGTAAAATAATATCTACAAATAAGTAAATAAGACTTAAATTGTCAAACAACTTGTTATTGGAGTGTTTGCCCTTAAATGTTTCTTAGTGTTTTTACCTATTGATATCTTGAAAATTATAATAGATAAAGACTTAAACTTTGAAAAGCAAAAGTAATCAGCTACAAAATTTCTACAAATATTAATGACTTGTCTCCTCACAGGAGTTGTTGCCCCTAGATCACAATTCTAACACAATTTTTTTTCATTTTTACTTGTTATCGGTAAATTTATAATGGATAAACTGAAACTCGGAACATCAAAAATTATCAGCAAGACAAAATTTTGGCCCACACGGTTTTCATTTAATACAAATATTGTTCCATTGTATCAATTTTATGCAAAAATGCCAGGTGGCCTATACAGGCTCATTACAGCCTCTGGAATACTTTTTTTCGCATAAGTTTTTTTATAAAGAAGTTAGACAAATGAATAACTTATATGTCCATTTATTTGATTGGAAATGTATTTAAAAAATCTTCTTCTGTAGTCTTTTCGGCAAAGTGTACCAATAGGAGTTATACCTCTTGGATCAATGAACAGATTTGCCAGACTATTATTTGGAACAGACAAGGATGAAGTGAGGTATTTACTGACTTAGCTAAAACATAACTATATTGACCATCAGTATAAAATCAGACTAGTTTTAAGTAGGATAAACTGACTGTTGGTGAGAATCACTATTCATTCTGTTCACAAAGTTGTATATCTTTCTTCTTTGGATAACTCTAGTAAAAGAAGATTGTGTACCTTACTTTTGGAATTGCCTGTCCACCATAACTAAAGCTTGGGTTGACCTGATAAGTTTGATATTTTTTTGGAGTATCTACACCTGGCATAGGATATTTCAAGTATATGTTGAGCAATGAGGTAGTTTACTTTAGGGAGTATATACTCTGACTTTAGAATCTAATATTGTGACATAGGTGGTTTTCTCAACGCATAGGATATTACAGGTTTAAGTTGATCAAGGAGGAGGTTTACTTTTTGAAGTATCTGTCTTTGCATATTATATCTGTCCTAACTGGTTACATAGGATATCTTATGTTTAGATTGATCAAGGACATGGTTTAGTTTCAGGGGTTAACATTTCTGTTCCAATCAAGATCTCAGGTTTAGATTTATTTATGAGGTTTACTTTAGAGAGTATTCATCCACATCATAGGATATCTCAAGTTAGGTTGAACAAGGAGGTACTTTAAGTATAACAAGTCTTTGAGAGATAAAAAAAATACCTCCAAATAAAATCTTTGCTGAAAGATTTAGGTGACTTGATAGTTACTAAATTCAGAAGTTTTCTAAAGTAACCTCCCCTGAAAAAACAACTGACTTTATGTCATGATTTTTACAATGACAATGTGAACAGGGTATTTTTCTTACACAACCTCTTAAAATTGACTGTCAGAAAATAAGAAATTCTTTTACTAATATATAGATTTTTCATCCTAGCTTATTATTAATATGAATTTTATGTCTAAAGGATGCTATTAGAATCAGCCATGGCAATAGTGAAAGGAGAAACAAAGAAAATAGATGTCCTTGGCATTCAGGTAACTTTTTTCTTACACAGTGGTACTTGACTAATTAACACATTACTATGTACTTAATATTCAGGTAACACTTGACTAATGTTCACATTACTATGTCCTTAATTAGCACTAAGGTAACACTTGACTAATTTACACATTACTATGTACTTAATATTCAGGTAACACTTTACTAATTTACACATTACTCTGTCCTTAGCATTCAGGAAACACTTATAATCCTGGTACCTTTGATAACTATTGAATAATTTACACATTACTATGTCCTAAGCATTCAGGAAACACTTGACTAATTTACACATTACTATGTACTTAATTAGCATTCAGGTAACACTTGACTAATTTACACATTACTATGTCCTAAGCATTCAGGTAACACTTGACTAATTTACACATTACTATGTCCTAAGCATTCAGGTAACACTTTACTAATGTTCACATTACTGTGTCCTTAATTAACACTCAGGTAACACTTGACTAATTTACACATTACTATGCCCTTAATATTTAGGTAACAATTTACTATTATTCACTTTACTATGTCCTTAGCATTCAGGAAACACTTGACTTATTTACACATTACTATGTCCTAAGCATTCAGGAAACACTTGACTAATTTACACATTACTATGTCCTAAGCATTCAGGAAACACTTGACTAATTAACACATTACTATGTACTTAATTAGCATTCAGGTAACACTTGACTAATTTACACATTACTATGTCCTAAGCATTCAGGTAACACTTTACTAATGTTCACATTACTATGTCCTTAATTAACACTCAGGTAACACTTGACTAATTTACACATTACTATGCCCTTAATATTTAGGTAACAATTTACTATTGTTCACTTTACTATGCCCTTAGCATTCAGGAAACACATGACTTATTTACACATTACTATGTCCTAAGCATTCAGGAAACACTTGACTAATTTACACATTACTATGTCCTAAGCATTCAGGAAACACTTGACTAATTTACACATTACTCTGTCCTTAGCATTCAGGAAACACTTGACAAATATACACATTATTATGTCCTTAGCATTCAGGAAACACTTTACTAATGTTACATTGATATATCTTTAGCATTCAGGAAACACTTGACTAATTTACACATTACTATGTCATTAGCATTCAGGATACACTTGACTAATTTACACATTACTATGTCCTAAGCATTCAGGAAACACTTGACTAATTTACACATTACTCTGTCCTTAGCATTCAGGAAACACTTGACAAATATACACATTATTATGTCCTTAGCATTCAGGAAACACTTTACTAATGTTACATTGATATATCTTTAGAATTATGGAAAACACTTTACCAATAATACTCATAACCATGTCTTAGGTATTTAGGTCATCAATGCTTTACTAATTTACGAAATTACTATGACCCTTGCTTTCAGATATAAACCTTTACTAATTTCCTTATTATGGTTTTCTCTGCATTCAGATATGCATAGATAACAGGGATTTCTACACATTGATATAAAGTATCAGCTGCTGGTCACAATGTGAACTTCTTTTTGGAGTGTGAATGCAGCAAACAAGCTGAAAAGCTTCACATTGTGCTGTGTGGCTGAAAACCTGATGTACCGTTTATCATACTAAATTTGGTCAATTTTTGTCTCCCTTAGACATTTTTTACGCTACAGGAAGTTATCCTGCTATCACATTGTGACCACAAAGTTTTCCTCTCACAATGTGACGTCATTAATAATTTCTCTTCTCACAATGTGATGCTGCTAATAAGTTCTGCACTAACATCACAAGGCCTAGATACAAGTATATTGAAGTGACCAAGATGGATTATATAGAACCCTTACTAATTCAGACATAACTATTTCCTAGGAATTCAGATAAACTTTACCAATTTATACATTATTATGTCCTAGACATTGAGACATGAAACTTTACTAATTCATACATTACTAGCTAGCATTGCTTAGAAGTCAGCACTCCTGGGCTGATATGAATATCATTGAGCATTCATTTTCTGTAAGGGGTGGTAGGATAAGAACAATTATTTGGTCCCTGAAAATGCAAAAAAGTAAAAATCTTCAACACTTTCAAAAATATGTTAATTTAATTGATATGCCATTAGTAATGATTGGTATAATCTAGGCACTAGTGCAAAAATGTCACTTCTGATGTCAATTTAACATCATAAATATGTCCAAATTGACAAATTTGACTTAAAAATTACTATTTTACACATAGCTTTTGGACAAATTCATATGAACCATAGATTCAATATCTTGCCATATAGAATTAAAAACTTTAAATTTGGTATTCATTGTTTTTTTAAATACATGTGACATTTAGTAGTAAGAGTCATATTGATATGTTTGGATGGGGTAGACATGTCTTCTTGCTCAGTGTTACGTTGTAATCTAGCATGTCCAAAATCAGGTTCAATATATTATACTTCTACAAAGCAGGTTTAAAAATCTTCTCAACAATGTGTTCTCATCCTTTGTATTATAGACAGAAAATATACATCCAGCCATAAACTTCTTCATTTGGTATGTTGGGTGAAGAGGAAAATTTTCAAATTTGCCCTGCCACAAGTCACCTTGTGACTTCTCAAAGAGTTATTGTAAATGTTGTTTTGTGTCCAACATTTTCATCGACCTTACACTCTCCTGCTGAATATAGTTTATTGGTGATAGCTGTTATTATTACAATATTTGTCTTTGTAGGGAGAAGATGGTAGAACATCATTTTCTTTATCTGGATTACAGACAGGTGTTTATAGAGATGCTGAGGCTAGGAAATCTAAGTAAATATTTTGTCAATAGTATCGTCCAAGTGATATCATATTTAGAAGGTGATAAAAGGGTTATTAGCCTGTAGAAACATATTTTAAGGTCATAATACATCATTTCTGGAATCATGTCTTTCACTGGAAAAGATTGTCAATTTCGCATGCCTTTATGACGTCATTTACCAGATAGAAGGCGCGCCTGTATCCCTGCTCTATTAAAAGTTTCCAGCACTTTCATAATCGTCATTCTGTAGGGTAGTATAGAAATAATTTATGTTTCGTAACTACGTAATCTTGATTCCCGTACGACTGAGGGAGGGTGAGATTTAAATTTCCCATATATTTTGTGCAGTATAAAATCAAACTTTTTCACCCGTTTGCTCAACATGTGTTGGAAGTGACGATGCATACATTTTGGTCACATGGTAATGGAAGTCACATGACAGATTCGTCTAAAAACCGTATTCCGGAACTGCCGTATAGGCTGGCTACCATCAAGAATCTGTGTTAAAAACATCTGAAATGTTTTGTAGTCACATGTCTGCTGTCCTTCAATGAAATAAGATTTATTGAAGTAAATTATGATAAAATTTATTGATAGAGGACAAAGTTCTCATTTCAATAGAAAAAGTGAATCAAATTGTTTCAATTCAGTTTTCTGTCTTTCTCACTTGTACAGTATCCTGGTTTAGTTGATACCATGTCTTGCTCATATCTTTCATGGCCAACTTGTTCCCAATCAACTCCTTTACCAACTTGTACTTCAACCAACTTAATCCTAAGGAGTATGACCAATTAAGTCTTAAATTGGCCCTAAAAATCAAAACTTTGTAATACAATATGTACAAACCTATATTTATGATATGAAATATGCAGTTTTAGATTAACAAGACACTTTTGATGTCTGCTGATGGTTTTATCAATGTTGACAGCTTCAAAAGTATGATATGTTACTAGTTTTTAGCCAAATTATTTGTAATGTCTATTTCCTTCTGAAAAATATTGGCCACACCCTTCGACCAAAATAATTTTTTTATAAAAAGATGTATATTGGTCAGATACACATCCTAACAAAATATTATGGTGGTCCTTGTATGGGGCCAATGTTTGAAGCAAAAACTATTAAAATTAAGTAAAAAATTAGTCAAGATTATGATTTTCATCATAAGAGTGCACAATTATGAGGTCATAAGGCCATGCCAAATTTATGTCTTGTTTATCAGAATTGCTGCTCTTTAATTTGATTCACAGATCATGTATATCAGTATGAATATATTCTTCTGTCTAAATTTTTTACATACTATTTTATGTATAAAGATTTTATAGGATAGTCTACTGTATAATTTTACTGTTTTTTTGAAGGGTTGATTTCTTGTTTTACCATAAGTAGATAAGCATATTTGAAAAGTTATGACAAAATATGAAAACTCATATTTATGACAGAGTCTATATTCAACCAGGTATTGGTACTTTGGCCCATTGAAACATCGCTGGACCCATGTAAGAACTGCAATGAAGGAATGGCCACCTGTATTTAAAGCAAAGATCAGTTATGTTTTAGCAACAGAAGAAAATACAAAGCCTGTTTTTACATCACAAATCCAGAAACAATCTCCTGCCCCACAATCCAAAAGTTGGTTTAGTTTTCTATATAAGATAAAGCCAGCACAACAAGGTATGAGTTTTTACCAACTAAATGTATGTTGAATAGATTCTAACACGAGCATCAAGGGGGATATTTCTCCTCTTGTTACAGTTAAATTTTGATGTTTAAAACTTGAAGCTTGTCCGTCATTTTCAGTGTTATAAATTTAACAGAAATTTTATATTGCTCTAATTTGCATGGTGAAATCTATTTTTCTAATGATTCTTAAAACAGATGAAAGCAATTTGATAGTTTTACAGTAATCTAAAAAAAAATATTGTTCTTTTTGTGAGACATCATAAGTCATGGTCGTCTACTTTTATGACGGCAACATAACGAATTAGAGAAAAGCATGGAAATTTGGCATCAGAATTTTGATCATTGATGAACTGAGATCAAACAAATCATGCATTATAAAAAATATTATAATCCATTTATTGAAAGTATTAATGGGTTGAGAATTAGAGAAACAAATTTATAAATATGGTACTTTAAATCTTGTCATTTTAATCTATATAAAATTTTGCAGTATACTTAAGTGGGGAAAGTTTGAGCAACTACTAATTTTTTTGTTCAACTTTCATTGATATTGAGCTTCATCATTAACTTTATTTATTTTAAAAACAGTGTCTATATTACCTTTATACTAAAATAGCCAAATAATATCTAACGGTTGTTGTTGTTGTTCAAATTTGTTTTCAGTATAATAAATCCTTGGGAATAATCAGGTCAGATTTTTTGCTCATAATTTGGTTTTTTGTTTCAATGTGAAAATAAGAAGATGTAGTAAGATTGCAAATGAGGCAACTTTCCACCAAATATCAAAGGATGATAATGTGAATAACTACAGGTCATTGTACAGCCCTCAACAATGAGCAAAATCCATACCGTGAAACATGTGACAAAATGTGAAACAGCATACCTGCCAACCTCTGAAACCTTCAAAGAGGGAGATCTCCCCCTCAGCTATGACAGCAGAGGCAGAGATTTTGCGCGAACAACATTTTCAAGTTAAATATATGACCTGTTTACTTATTTATCTACAAAACACCAATAAGAGTTAATTGATATACTTTATTTCTTCAATTCATGGTTATAATCTATACAAGGTGGGGTGTTTTTTTTTAGCCTTTTCAATACTTCCGAGTCTCATAACTCGTAACATTCCCTATCTTGATTTTGTTGTGAGTCTCACACTAAGCATGCTTTCAAACATCGTACATACCACCAGAAGAAATCGAAAAGTTGATAAAACATGATGTGTAAAAAGATTCATTGCCAAGTGAACTTGGTCGTAAAAATTTAAAATCTTTCATTCAAAACTGCTTGACATTTCGATTTGCAGTTATCTATTTCTTCTTTTTTACACTGCCGCTTGGTCCACACAAAGACCTCTATCTTGTTGGAGTTGACATAGCAGAACTGAATTTCGATTGTTTATATATCGAACAGCATTACTACTGACCAAAGTTTTCAAATGATTGCGATTGTTTATTTATTTCTATTGAAAGTAATGAAAAGCCAGAGAATTAAGAACGCAGGTTATTCCAAGTCAAAATATCCGAAAGTGGGAGATTGTATACTCCCGCGCGGGACCGGACTTGCAAGCGGGAGATTTCCGTAATTTTGTCGATTTTGCGGGAGTCTCCCACTCAAAACTGGAGGGTTGGCAGGTATGGAAACAATAAAAGAGTTATTCCAACTGCCTGATTTATTCTAAAGCAATAAACTTAAAACAATTCATTGAGAAGCTTTCTTCAAGTAAAACACATTGTTTTATTGTCTTAAAAGTTCTGTTTTTATTGAAAGTCCCTGCAGTACACTGGATTAAGTATCCTAGATTTGTATATCCTGTGTTTAATGGAGACATATTTGAATAAATATTGTCTGTTCTTCTTATAGGAAAAGGCCAAAAAACGTTAAAACTTTAAAGTGAAATAATTTTTTTTCAAATATGTTTGCATAGATACATAATTATAAAAAGTTATAAGATTCATGTTTGAATAGGACCAATAAAAAACATAAGTTCTTGATGTACAGGCAACACCATTGGCAAATGCTTAAGATAAAAAAAATGAAAATAGTCTACAATACAATTAAACATAGATAACATAAGGTTTAATATCAAAACTCAACCAAAAATGGGTTATCTCAATTGCTCCAGAAGTGTTAGCAGTTCAAAAATGTCAAATGTTTTTCAAAGAACAATATTTTGATGGTGAATTATCAATAATTTTGCACTTATAGATCCAAAATACAATGAAGAAGAAATGGATGACAGTTTGGATGAAGAAATAACAGAAGAACTAGATACAATAGAATTCTGTGTCAATTCATCAAACTTGAATGACCCCTCAAAGGTGAAGAATTGGACCTTTGGAAAGTCTTTTTTAATATTGATAGATGGGGATTAAAGTAAACATTAGTGAGACAGCAACCAAATGACACAAACAAGCAAAAGACAGCTGATTTCAATATACAGGGAACCAATTTATAAATTTTTTAAAGCAAATTGTTACATTATGATATTAATTGAAACTGTTTTATTATTTCACCTGTCATAATGAATGACCTACTCTGAGGCCAATTCACTTTTCAGTTATGAAGTACTTCAGGTTTTGATAAGTTGTACAGTAATTTTGAGAAAAAGTCTTTAAAAGTATGGTAATTTACCATAATATTTGGATTTCTTAAAATTTTGAACTTAAGTCATGGATAATGTTCACAGTTATACTGATATACATATGCCTTGGAATCCTTAACAAATATATTGCTCATTTTTTTCATTCAGATATATTGAAAAATAACACTGTATATGGTAATTACATTCTGAGAATTATTTAACAGTTGTAGAAAATTATTCAATTTATAAGTATTTTGTAATGAACGAGTATATGTTTCCAGTATGAGCCTTTAGCAATGACTTCAGCTTCAGGTACAAAGCAGTGGTATCCTTAATTAAAAATGGTCTTAACATTTCTGAATAGAAACAGTCAGTTTTTGAATGCTTGCTTTTTAACTGGTATATTTATGTCCTGTGGTCTAATCTTGATGAAAATTCTGTGATACATTTTTTTAGTACTAAACAAAAACCCTAAAAAAACAGTTATGAATATAGTAAGTCCATCCAGGCTTAAAAAGGTTTAGTTTTAATCCTTATGTTTGTGATATATTTGTTAATATGACTTTTCTATCATTCTATACTTAAATATTCTAAAATTAGAAAAAAACATATCACTTCAATAGAAATAATAATGAAAAATTGAGAAAACTAGTCTGTCAAGTTAACACAAATGAATTTTCTTCACTATTTTTTCCAATTTTGTAATGCCTAAAGGAACTTTTGGGATACTATTGTGAGTACCCATTATGTCCATGTTGGTGAGCATGTCCACAGTCAGTTACCAGAACCTGATAACTTTAACCTTATGTTATTTGACTGCCTCCGTGGTGTTGTTGTAGGGTGTGGGAGATCGTGTCATTAAACCCTAACTAGGAAAAACCAAAGACATCAAAATTGGTATTTGCTGCTTCTTTAATAATACATGCAGCATTAAAGAGTAAGAGCAAAGACTGCTCAAAGTATGAATAATGTTTACGGTTCGGTGACATTTGTTCCTTTGGGCTCTCTGCCTTCTGAACAAGCACAATATGTCCAGCTCCAAGAGGCTTTCAAGTACAAAGCAGGATGCATATTCATATCACAATAACATGTTCTCGTCCTGAATAAGCATTCATTTTGCCACTGGAAATTAAACAGCAATCCATCATCACCAATGTAATTTGATGAACAGATGCATTTGTGGAAATACTGACGTCACAATGTAAAATGGAGGTCATACAAACATTATGATATCACTAAGTGGCTTTGACACAGCTTATAAACTCCATTAAGTTGTACATTCAATTCAAATTCTGAGATGCTTAGTCACTTAATTTTAATTTTGACTTACAGTTATATTCTTGTAAGGATTTATCTAGCGAAGTATGACAGCACCCCCTTGTGACCACATTGTTCAATATTTTTATGCTCAGTTGACTTCTACTAAGGAAGTATGGGATTCTAAACCAAAAATAACAGAATTTATTCATACTTTGCCAAAGTATAGTTTATATTGTGCTATTTCCAAGAATATTTTATGAATGAGCTTGTTTTTAAGCTACAGGAAGGAAAAAAATTACATATTTTGTAAGGATTATATAGAAGGAAAGCTTTATTATTTAATAAGAAAGAACATTAAATGACAGAACTTTGAAATGAAATGTGAGAAGATAGTTCTTTCAGATGCTTTTAGAAAAAAACAAAAAAACATATGATAACCATTTTTTCTTGCTATAAAACTACCGGTAACTAAAAATATTTTTACTGTTCATTCCTTACTAAAACTAAAATTATCTGAGTTATCTCCCCTTATATGGCTAAATTAATTGCAGCTTTTCAAAGTAAAATGCAGAAGCCTAGAAAAGACAGCTTCTGTGTATTTTATGTTTTTGTGACTTCAAGTTTTCCATCCTTGTGTATAAATGGAACCGCAATTAACAGAATGTTTTGATTAAGTTCAGACCATTAACCTCATGATTTAATAAAAAAACATTTAATTAAAATTTTGTAGAAAAAAATTATGAAAGTCAACAGTTGTTATTTTTCACACATTATGCATGCAGGCTAGTCCCTTCTATAAGAACCTGAAACTTTTTTACTGCTATGATGTTGTGAAAATTATATGAAAGCATATGTTAGAATATCCAATTGTTTCAGTTATAAAATATTTCTCACTAATCACATCATAAGTGATGTTTTTGTGACGTCATAAATGTAGGTTAATTTGTGAACGCCTGATTTTTGGCATAATTTGGTGAAATTTATTATGTCCATTTACAGAAAAATTAACAGTGGCGACACCCCTCGCCAGCAAATATTTTAAATATACCATATAGATATAGGAAGATGTGGTATGAGTGCCAATGAGACAACTCTCCATCCAAGTTACAATTTATAAAAGTAAACCATTATAGGTCAAGGTACGGCCTTCAACACGGAGCATTGGCTCACACCAAACAGCAAGCTATAAAGGGCCCCAAAAAATTACTAGTGTAAAACCATTCAAACGGAAGAACCAACGTTCTAATCTATATAAAAACGAGAAACGAGAAACACGCATGAACTATATTCTTTACTTTTCGATCAAAATTTCAATGGGCAGGGGGTGGCGATACATATGAAATTATGAAATAAGGTCGAAAAAAATGACTAATTCCTAGAAAAATGGACTCGAATAAAATCTTTACTTATTTCAGGTAATATATTTATAATCTATGAAGCAGATATATATTTTTTTCTTATTAAACTTTCAAAAGTAATACATTTAGCAAAACATTCACAGTAAATTTACTCAAACAATTGAAGTTTTAATAAATGCATCTTTACAGGGCCTTTTATTGGGGTTCCTTGATCTTCCTTGCTCTACTCCTTTGAGATGATGAGATACTGCCACATGGTAGTCAAAAGAAATCCTGAATCTTAAATCTGAATTCATTCATAAACTATAACCAATAAGAATTTTCCAGTATTTATTATTGTCTATAGCTCGTGTAACATAGTTGATTACTGCAGAATTTCCAATTTTAGGTCATAAGAGTAATTTACATTTTAATTTTTTGCAGTCTTCAAATCATTTTTTAAACATTTTACGAAAACAATGAATGAATTTCCAGGTAGAGTCATCTCTTCTTAAGAAAAGAACAATTGCCAATCACTAATCACCTGGCATGAAATCCAATGCAATACTTTGCTAAAACCTTACATTTCTTTTTTTTCTCCTGTCTGGCAATTTCCTTTGATTTTTAAAACTATTTTTCTTGTCAAAGATTTATTCCATGACTGTATCTTGTAACGACCAAATTCTGCAATATTAATGTAAGAATTGAACATGTTCTCTCTGATTCATATTAGCAGGTAAATGACTAATGTTAAATTCTCTCTTATTATAAGTAGTAGGCTAACTATATTTGGTATGTGCGTACCTTGCAAGGTCCTCATGCCCGTCAGACAGTTTTTACTTGACCTCGACCTCATTTCATGGATCAGTGAACAAGGTTAAGTTTTGGTGGTCAAGTCCATATCTCAGATACTATAAGCAATAGGTCTAGTATATTCGGTGTATGGAAGGACTGTAAGGTGTACATGTCCAACTGGCAGGTGTCATCTGACCTTGACCTCATTTTCATGGTTCAGTGGTTATAGTTAAGTTTTTGTGTTTTGGTCTGTTTTTATACTGTATGCAATAGGTCTACTATATTTGGTGTATGGAATGATTGTAAGGTGTACATGTCTAGCTGGCAGGTGTCATCTGACCTTGACCTCGTTTTCATGGTTCAGTGGTCAAAGTTAATTTTTTGAGTTTTGGTCTTTTTTTCTAATACTATATGCAATAGGTCAACTATATTTGGTGTATGGAAATATTTTATGATCTATATGTCAGTTGCGCAGGTTTTATATGACCTTGACCTCATTTTCAAGGTTCATTGCTCAGTATTAAGTTTTTGTGTTTTGGTCTGTTTTTCTTAAACTATAAGCAATAGGTCAAATATATTTGTTATATGGAAGAATTGTTAACTGTACATGTCTGCCTGGCATAGTTCATCTGACCTTGACCTCATTTTCATGGTTCATTGGTCAATGTTTAGTTTACTTGGTTAATGTTAGGTTTATGTGACAGTTGTAATAAAGCTTTATATTTAGGACTATCAACATAATATCAATGATTAGTAAAGAAGGCGAGATATTTCAGCGTGTGCACTCTTGTAATTTATTTACACTTTATATCGACATTAAAGACAACACTCGTAAATTACTGCAAAGTAATAGTTTTACTGGTCGACATGTTTTGCCAGCAAGCAAGGCGTCTTCAGGACAAGTATACATATAAGATAAAACAGTGAAGTACAAATTTTGTGGTTATTGCGGTTAAGGGGAAGTAATGTTACAATAATTGTTGTTATGATGACGCTATTGATAAAAATAGAAAGTGAAAGTAAAATAAGATTAGTTAATAGAAAGCGAAAGTAAGTCAATAAAGTTATTAACAGAGGTTGGCTTCTATTCACACATCTGTATACTGTGAAAGTACTTTTATTCATGGGGTACCTATTTTTATGGTTTTCGTGGATGGCTTTATCCACAAATTTAAGTGTCCAACAAAATATAACAACTGTTGTCCAAGTCAAGACATGGAAAGATTCCCACGTAAGTTTGACTACATGGATACAGGTATTAATTCTAGAGAATACATCGAATTCAGCAAACACACTATGAACTATATATACAACTTCAGACAGGATTTTACCCAATTTATCATCAAAAAACCTAAACTGTAAGACTTTTAACCATTTCATTCTCATGAAAAATTAGTTTTTGATCGATGCAAAAATCAGACTTCCCGTAATTCTTATACAAAAAAAATCATATTGGACTTCCTTTTTTAATTCATAAGAATTAATTCGACAATTCAAAGTATTTTTGTAGCATTCTTTATGTAACCGTTTTCTTTAAGTGACATGTTTATGGCCCAATTAACACCTTTGGTGAACGTTAATCGGTTGATCATTCATTACTTAGTTTATTAGTCTCATCACTTCTGATAACACATGTTCAACAATTAAAATGTTTACTTTGTAATTTCCTTCAATCGAGACAATTTGTAAGCATACAACTATTTGATGAATGTAAAGACGAACAAGTAAGTGAAAATTTACATCTTATTTTGAAATGTCCCACGAATCATTATAAAACAAAATATAATTATTTTCAGAATCATCGTTTTTGATGGCTTCAAATTCTTCAGTCGATTTTTTTCAGAAAACTAAAATCCAAGAACATGTAACTTTTGATCAAACCACGAAAAATTGATACCCATAAATTAAAGTACTTTCACAGTCAGTCTTATTTGAGGTTCCTAGTGGTATATTTACACTTTGCAATTTAGCATATTGATTTGAAAAGGTACACACAATTCTTAAGTGTGTATTGATTTAATAAGTTAAGATTTGTATTTTGTAGAATTTGAAGGGGTTTGAGTGTAAAATAGGACCATCAGAACCCAACAAAACTGAAGTCGTCAAAGAAGGGTATGTTCATATAAAATATCTGTTACAGATTCTGTACATTTTTACCATATGTTTCACTTTCAGAATAAACTATTGATGCAATGGAAAAGAAAGGATATGGTGTATTTATCCATTTTACAAAATCTCTGCAGGCACCAGAAAAAACAAAACAACACTTTTTTCCTCTCAAAAGCACTAAAAAAACATCAAATGAATATCAACATAATGAACATAAAGAAATAAATAGTCCGTAATTTGAATACATGTAGTAAGTAATATAAGATTGCTAAATTTTAAACAAATACATTAAATATATAAGAGCATCAAAACCAGATGTGCATTAACAAGACAGACATATTTTCCCGCCAACTTTTGAAAATCCCCAAGGACACGACAACATTTTCAAAGATTACAATTTTTCGCAGAGTTTTTGTATGAGATGTTTTGTCCTGTAGAAATAGTGTCATATTTTTGTATTCTTATGGTATACTGATGATGAGCTAATAAGCCCAGTTCTTCTTTTCATTTGCATGATTCTTATACTTATATTATTGTGTAGAGAATATGTACTGTTGACTTTTTCAATTTAAAAATATGGACAAATGAAGACATTTATTTGGTTCCATATGAAAAATAAGACAGCACTTTAAATGATATGATAGTTTTATTACAAGAATGACAACACTGTATGATCTGTTACAATAAGTGTAATGTGCAGATAAGCCTCTTTTTAATATGTTCATGGTGGCACTGCAACTCAAATTGCATCAAAGAAAGCATACCTTTTTGACTTGTATTAAACTTGATTCATATTTTAATAGTCTGATTTAACTCAACATAATCTGTCGATACCTTTATTTTGGCATTGCACAAGGTCATGTTTTTCTCTGACTATTAATGACATCTTTACACTAAATCCATTGGCTGTTGGATGTATACTGATTGATATTTTAGTCTTAGATACTTAATTTTTTTATTAGTTGTTATTGGCTTTGAACTAGCTGTCAGTAACTGCAAGTACTCTCAGATCTGTACTTAGTTTCTTTTTTGTTGTTAAGGATGAGGGCTGGATAAATACCCTGCCACATCCAGTCTGTGTTTTTGTTAGATGTTTTTCTGCTTTGTATCAATCTGATGAGTTAAGCCTTTTTCAACTGATTTGTAGTTTACAAACAAAAGTGAACCAATGCCTGGTGAATCTGTACTAAGGTAGAGTCCCTGAAGTGGATACCTTGGATATGCAGGGTCATTATGATAAAGCATATAAAATGTAGAAAGTCTTATAACAACAACACTTTAGGGACTGCTGCAGAAACTTTATTGATCGACATGTTTTGTTGCCTAGAAGACCGTCATCAGGATAAAAACAATAAAGAATATTGAACCTGTGGTAGGTTCTAAAAATGGAAATATTCTTTTCTTGAATCCTAGTCGTGTTTATTCCTGTTTGCAAGTAGTACCTTTGGCCAAGTGAAGCCAGTCAAAATGGTACGGAATTGCATGTCAAGTGCCGTTCAAATTTGGATAAAACACAAACTGTACACAGCCAGACAATAACTTATTATATATTTTAGTTCCATTATGTAAGATGACAAACACATATTCATTCAACAAACATTTAAATTTCAATGACATTCACATTTTATTCAACTTTCTTGTTCAAGTTTACTTCCATACATGTGTACTTTCACTTTCTATTTATACTCAGGGTTTTCGATATCATAAACTAGTCAAAACATTTACTAAATTTTATCATCGGTATAAGGACATCATTCGTAAATATAACTCAACATGCAGACATCTTATACGTTCGGGTATTTCACATCCAATCTTTTATGGTAATATTCTTTACAAAGCACAAAAATGTCAGTATTCACCTCAAAAGCTAACAAAACCTTTAAACAGACTTATTAAGAAGGGATATAGTTACGATACTGATGTCAGGTCATTAAAGATTACATATTTTGGCTTTAATATTGATTCACTTATAGGGTCTTTGCATCTGAATTAAACATATTTATTCTAAAACCAGTTGTTGGCATGACACGGGTTATGTTCTTCTCATATATTTTATGATGGTATAATTCTAAACCCCTAACAGGAGGGATTATGCCTGATATTCATATGATGAAGACATAATCTTTCAATCAGTTTAATTGAGGTCTGGAGCTGGCATGTCAGTAACTGCTAGTAGTCTGTTGTTATTTATGTATTATTGTCATTTTTGTCGAGCCTGCGACTTTTGTCGCAGAAAGCTCGACATAGGGATAGTGATCCGGCGGCGGCGGCGTTAGCTAACTTTTTAAAAGCTTTATATTTTAGAAGGTGGAAGACCTGGATGCTTCATACTTTGTATATAGATGCCTCATGTTACGAAGTTTCAGTCAGTCACATGTCCAATGTCCTTGACCTCATTTTCATGGTTCAGTGACTACTTGAAATAAAAGTTAAGATTTTTTGTAACGTTAAATTCTCTCTTATTATAAGTAATAGGATAACTATATTTGGTATGTGCGTACCTTAAAAGGACCTCATGCCCGTCAGACAGTTTTCACTTGACCTCAACCTCATTTCATGGATCAGTGAACAAGGTTAAGTTTTGGTGGTCAAGTCCATATCTCAGATACTATAAGCAATAGGTCTAGTATATTCGGTGTATGGAAGGACTGTAAGGTGTACATGTCCAACTGGCAAGTGTCATCTGACCTTGAGCTCATTTTCATGGTTCAGTGGTTATAGTTAAGTTTTTGTGTTTTGGTCTGTTTTTCTTATACTGTATGCAATAGGTCTACTATATTTGGTGTATGGAATGATTGCAAGGTGTACATGTCTAGCTGGCAGGTTTCATCTGACCTTGACCTCATTTTCATGGTTCAGTGGTCAAAGTTAAGTTTTTGAGTTTTGGTCTTTTTTTCTAATACTATATGCAATAGGTCAACTGTATTTGGTTTATGGAAATATTTTATGATCTATATGTCGGTCGCACAGGTTTTATTTGACCTTGGCCTCATTTTCACAGTTCATTGCTCAGTGTTAAGTTTTTGTGTTATGGTCTGTTTTTCTTAAACTATAAGCAATAGGTCAACTATATTTGTTGTATTGAAGAATTGTTAGCTGTACATTTCTGCCTGGCATGGTTCATCTGACCTTGACCTCATTTTAATGGTTCATTGGTCAATGTTTAGTTTTTTGGTTAATGTTAAGTTTATGTAACAGTTGTAATAAAGCTTTATATTTAGGACTATCAACATAATATCAATGATTAATAAAGAAGGCGAGACATTTCAGCGTGTGCACTCTTGTGTTTATTTTCTTTTGTTTCCTATTCTGACATCGGACTCGGACTTCTCTTAAACTGAGTTTTACTGTGCGTACTGTTGTACGTTTGTTTTTTCTACATTGGCTAGAGGTATAGGGGGAGGGTTGAGATCTCAAAAAACATGTTTAACCCTGCCGCATTTTTGCGCCTGTCCCAAGTCAGGAGCCTCTGGCCTTTGTTAGTCTTGTATCATTTTTAATTTTAGTTTCTTGTGTATAATTTGGAGTTTAGTATGGCGTCCATTATCACTGAACTAGTATACATATTTGTTTAGGGGCCATCTGAGGGACACCTCTGGGTGCGGGAGTTTCTCGCTGCATTGAAGACCCATTGGTGGCCTTCGGCTGTTGTCTGCTCTATGGTCGGGTTGTTGTCTCTTTGACACATTCCCCATTTCCATTCTCAATTTTATCACCATGTTTACATTGTGACATAATTTATGCATACCAGATTTTGTACTTCAGACGCAATTTACTGTATTGTTTTTATCCTGATGACGTTGCCTAGGCACCGAAACATGTCAATCAATAAAGTTTCTGCAGCAGTCCCTAACCTGTTATTGTTATAAGACTTTGTACATGATTTGAAGTTTGTTCTTATGTTGTGCTGTTACTTCACTGTCCAAGGTTAGGGGAGGGTTGAGCGCTTACAAATATGTTTAACCCCTCCACATTCTTTATTTGCTGGTCCCAAGTCAGGATCCTGTAGTTCAGTGGTTGTTGTTAGTTCATATCTGTCATATTTGTTTTTCGTAAATTGTTTTGTTACAAATTAGGCCGTTAGTTTTCTCAATTGAATTGTTTCATATTTTTCATATCAGGGCCCTTATAGCTGACTATACGGTATGGGTTTTTCTCATTGTTGATGGCCATACGGTTGGCTATAATTGCTTACATCCTCTTCATTTGAACTTTGGTGGATAAATGTCTCATTGGCAATCATACCACATCTCCTTAATTTTATATAATCATATTAAAGAAAATGTCTTATAAACAGTTTTTATACCCCACCTACAATAGTAGAGGGGCATTATGTTTTTTGGTCTGTGTGTCCGTTCGTCCGTCCCTCTGTCCGGCTTCAGGTTAAAGTTTTGGTCAAGGTAGTTTTTGATGAAGTTGAAGTCCAATCAACTTGAAACTTAGTACACATGTTCCCTATAATATTATATTTCTAATTTTAATGGCAAATTAAGAGTTTTGACCCCAATTTCACGGTCCACTGAACATAGAAAATGATAGTGCGAGTGGGCATCCGTGTACTATGGACACATTCTTGTTATTCATATTTTGATATTTCTTATTCCAGAAAATTATATTTCTGATCTAGGGACGACACAGCACGCTGAATCCCAACCTGAATTGGCCTGAAGTTGAGTCCATACATAAACACATAAAAATACCCCAAAACATACAAAGTATACTTAAAATCACATCAATTGTAATTCTGAGGTTCATTTTATATGACATTTATTTTTTATATACAAGAAATAAATTGTGTAAATATTGTTTCTTTTTTTTTCATTTTTTAATATGCATATGTCCATGGAAGTAATTTGATATGATACTTCCATGATTTAAAGATTGTCAATATTATATTTTAGGGTATTTCCTTGGAAAGAGTGAAACTTTCACACATTAAAATTGTGACAAACAAGCAAGGATTTATATAGAACATACACTTGCATACAAGTGATTTTGGATTATCAGCCTATCATATTTCAAATAAATAAGTAATTGACATTTTACTGTCGTGTCAATCAGAGTAGATGAAATTCAACATATTACCTTATCAGCCAGCTATTTTTTGATTGGGATAAGGATTAGTAATACAACACTTGGTGCACTTCATGGTTAGGAAATCATTATAAAAACAATTGATTAAATTTTTTAAAGAAGTAAACTGCTACCTAAACATCTGTGATGACCTTCCATATTGAAGACCAGGGAATAATCAAAAATGAAAAAAAAAATATTTTAAGGTGGTACATAATGCTACAGGGAGATAACTCTGTAAAAATCAGCTGAACATTTTAATTACGTTCTATTGTTAAGGAAATATTAAGCTTCTCAATGGTCAAAATTAGTGTTTGTCAAACTGCTATATATCTAATGAAATTTTTCCGATAAAGAGTGTTGTTCAAGTTTTTTGAAATTTTTATATTTTTGTCAAAGGGTCAAAGTAATTATTTTGTTAAAATTTTATGAAAATTAAACGAGCCAAATTAATTTTAGTCAAGGTGTTTGGTACCACCTTAAAGAGCATTGAATTATGATCTTCATAAGGTGCAAAAAAATATGTTTTAAACAAATTCAATTTATGCAGTAAAAAAATGTTTTTTTGGGAAATGGATTTTCACTGAATCAAAGCCAAAAGATGTAAAATTGTGCCTGCTTACCAGGAAGTAAAAGATAACTAATTAATCTCATCTTTATACAATTGTTATCAAGGAAAACAAAATTTGATAACTTTTAACAAGAAATACTTACTACTACTACGGGGATGTTTTAAAATATCAACAAAAGTTCCTACTTAGTTGTAAGAAATATAATAATCACCAAGATATCATTCGAAAGAATTTATTTAAGTTTATATGAGAAAAAAGACACACCCCATTGTATGTTTCTGTCTCTAGATTTGATTGAAATTAATTCATTATTTCAATATTATTATTATTATACAGAATCATTTTTTCATAAAAAGATTACAGTTGTCCACCACTCAAATATATTCAAGATTTTATTAAATTCGCTTAATATGCATATTCATGTGTATGCTAATATTCCAGAGAGGTAACTCATAGAATTATAGAAATTTTAATTTTGCATTTTGTAGTGTTATTTCGATGTTCTGTGGTATATCTAAGTTGTTTTATTTTATTTGTTTGTAGTTCTGTGGTAAAAAGACATTCTGGTCACAAAATAACAACATTATTTGATGTGCTACCGTTCTGTTTTCAGTAGAATTCATTGTTTATGATATATTTGCAGTTGGAGAAGAATAAATGATAAAAGTTTGCAGTTAGGATCACCTACAGATAAATCACTCATTGTTAAAAAGATAAAATTGATTCCTGAAATCATAGATCAGGTAAGTTCAACGAAAATGTAACATGAAATGATGGAGTAAAATATTTATTAGAGCAGAAAAAAAATAATATATGAACTGAAGACTAGAGTTCAACATAAGGTATTCAACACAACAGAAATGTCTATAACAAGGTTTCCAAACCAGTCATTACCTGCAAATATAATTTTTGTGTGCTTGATGTCCAGCTGAGATATACCTGTTCACCTGAAAGTTAACTAGCACTGGGAAAATAGCTTAATTTTGTTTAAGTTGTTTCTTGTGTGTCACTGGTTTGCATCCGGAAAAAAATAATTGATACTACAGTAGACTCCACCTAATCGGATATCGGCTAAACGAATATATCGGCTATTGTAATATTATTTCAAAACACCAAACCCTTCCCTATATGTTTAATGTTAATTTTATCGTGTAATCGAATATCGGATATAAGAATATATCGGCAAATCGGATAAGAATATTCAGTTCATTTTGTTCAAAACCATGCACAATCGGATATTTTCAATGGTTTTCTGACAGGAAATGGACCCGGAAGTTACGAATTTACAATCTTGCAGACAAGAAGATTTTGTTTTTACTAAATAAAAGGAACTATTTCTTAATAAATTGTTGTCTTTAATCATTGTCTTCCTTTGTCATGTGAATTAGATGCCCTTTTACTTCAAATGGTTTGAATTTATTTATAAAATATGCAAGGCTCAGTTGACGTTGCTGTTTGGAGAATTTTGATTAAACTCTAAATGTTCACAGAATCAGAAATATAATCTAAACTGAATGTACCTCCTTCTGAATAATTTATTGCAATATAAATATAAATCCCTTCTGACAAGAGAAATCTGACTTTTGTCAAATATATTTTTTTCACATGTGCAAAAGTAACCACATGTCATGGACGCCATTTTGGATGTTTACAAATTTGTGAGGAAGCCTCTAGAACTATGACCTAAATATAAATAGTCTTCAGAAAACGTAAACTTTATGCAATAATATTTTATCAATCATGATTATTTTCATAAATTTAAATTTGATTATTTAAAGAAATAAAATTATAACAAATACGATTTTAGTTTGGAGATTCTACACAGACATGCTTAGATCTATTTATAGCCAAATTAGTTTACCTGTGTGATAATGTAAATAATGGATATTAATTTGCTTACAAAACAAATAAAGACAAACTATGGATGGTAGATAATAATTCACATAAATATTTCAGGACATTCGATTTATTTTAATAAATAAAGGATTTAAAAACTGCAAACAAATTTAATCATTACATAATCAGCTGATAATTTTTTACACAAACATCGTGGTGATGTAACTGATAAAAATCACTCCATCAATCCTCCAGCCCTTTCACATATTTAGCAATTGTCAGGGTTAGTAACATCTCAGGATTATATCTACTCATTATTGCAGAATATTCAATGAATATACATTCATCGTCTAATTGAATATATCGGGTAATCGGATATTTTTAGCTGACATTTTGGGTATCCGATTTGCCGGAGTCTACTGTATTTGTCATAGGTTCATCTCAAGTATTGTCTTGAAGAAATAACGATAAAAGAACCACTTAAACTGGAGGATGCTTGACTAAAATGTACACAGACTTCAAGTATTAACCACTGTCAAGTCAACATTTGATATTAGAGAATGTGCTTTAAAAACAAAAGTAAAGTTTATAATCCTAGTGTTATTGTGTTACTTACGAGTATAGTCCAAACATAAGTCCACTGATATTCCACACTTCAAACAAAGTACTGAACTAATCAACAATATCAAAAGTATAAAGAAATTCATGTGAGAACTCAACCATCACAGCTGACTAGAATAAAAGGTACAGAGAAAAAACATTCAAGAAGTAGGATGACAAAAGGCCCAACCAGTTTGAAATAATTACAAGGCTTCTTATAAAGATTCACCAACTCAATTTACTATTTGGAATTTGACCAAGTGTACATAATAATTGATGCCTACCATTGTTTTTAAATCTAGATAGATCATCAAGTGTATAATAATCAACTATCAACAATATCAAAAGTATGTAGTTATCAATTTCATGTCAGATTCATTGCCCTTGATTCCCCATAAGATACTTTGGATTAGCTTAAATGCTTAGTTACTACTCTAAAGGTATTGAATATGGGACTAAAAAAGGACAGTTTGAAGTAAAACGAGGCATTTAGTAAGCATATTGTCTAGTCACTTCAAAATGAATGTTTTTGTCATGAGAAGACTTAATATTTGTAATGTTTTATTATTTCAGGAAGAACCATCTTGGTTTGATATTGATGGAGAAAATTATGAAGCCATGCCTATAGAAATAAAACTGCTTAAAAACAGACTAAATGTATTTTATAATGGAAGTATTTCACCTAGCTGATATTGTCATGTGATAGTTAATGAATAAATTTTTGAATATATTCTGTCCCGTTTATTTTATTAACTTTAGTTTTCTGCTTGCTCTCAAACCGTATAATTATTGGTTAAAAGATTAAGATATACTTTGGAGTCATTAGTTTCGTAGGATACCAATTTTTGTTGATTTCATGGGTATATGTGAACTATGAATTTAAATGTTCAATTAAGTATAAATCTTCTATAGGCTAGTATGCAGACTTTGGCAAAACCACAAAATCAGATATTAATGGCAATATGATTTTTCCTCAATCCAATAAATGAATTCACAGTACCATGTTAGTCATGTGATCTGATAACTTGTCTGCATTTTGAGCTGGTAACAGGTAAGCCAGCAGACTTTGTCAAGGTTTGTGGAAGGAATATTTTTTATATTATACAGATACTGTAAATTTAGAAATTATTGTGTGCATTTATTATTGCGATTTTGTCATTTTAGACTTGAATGCGAGTTTAATTTTTACTATTTTCAGAAAAATCCTGTTTAGTTCATATAAAATATTTCAAAATGCGAGTTTAAATTATTGCATTTACGACTCTGTCGCAATAATAAAAACCTCGCAATAATTTCTGAATTTACAGTATATTATTAAGCAGTGACTACCTGTATAGTGGGCAGAGGAGAATTAAGGGGAAGGGGGCTGGGGCCCAGCCCCCACCCTTAATAGAACTTCATATATGATAATTGCATGGACTTTTTACAAGTATCACTCAAAACATTGGCTTGTCTGGGCCCCCTCCAACCTTTTTTTTTTAAATTCTGGATCTGCACCTGGTGAATGCATTGTTGTCATATTTTCTTATTTTGTCTGATTTATGATCAATGTGGTTATAAGCACAGACATATAATGGTATTCAAGTGTAAATGATTACATTTAATGATAAGAATATATAGTTGTGTAGGGAAGCGTATCTTTACAAACATTGGACAAAATATGAATTGATCGACCAATAAATTACATGTCTTACATTTTTGTAAGCATTAGATTAAAAACAGCTTAACAAAGCTTTATATTTTAGAAGTAAAAATAGCTGGATGATCCATATCTTGAATACAGATGCATTAAAGCCTGGCATTTATTTGTTTTCCTTAACTTCATTTTCATTGTTCAATGACTGAATATATAGAAAACAATGCGGTGGTGATCTTGAGTTATTATTAGTCCCCTACCGACGAAGTCGAAGGGGACTTTAGGTTTGCACTAAGTCAGTCTGTCTGTCTGTCCGTCCGTCTGTCCATCCGTCAGGTTAGCAATTTTTGTCGAGCCTGCAACATTTTGGAAGTGGTGACAAGACATGGCTATCATACATTCTTTTGACGGGAGTACGAACATTTAGGTTCAGTCTGGTAAGAGTTAAGAAACCAATATTTTTATTAAAATTTCATGGAGTTTTATGAAACTTCGACAGACGCTTTTTATGCCCCTGCCGCAGCAGAGGGGGCATTAAGTGTTACCCTTGTCTGTATGAATGTCCATCTGTAAGTACTTACGTCCCGAAATTGGTTTCCGTTCATTAACTTAAGTTTGCATCAACCAAATGTTATGAAACTTATACACAATTCTTATTACCATAAAACTCAGATCAAGTTCAAATTTGGTAGCGTCACTTTTACCATTCTTGAGTAATGTCCCTTTATAACGTTATATGCAAGCGGGTCATCATCTGTGTCCCATGGACATATTCTCCATTTATTTTATGTTCTCCATTTATTTTATGATAAAAAAAAGTATCAAAAGCAACATTTTGTAATTTTTTTTTACTGTTAAATGGATTTTTTTCAGTATTATACTGGTAAATGGACATAGTTTTTGGCAGTCAACATTACATTTTTAAACTCATATTACCAATCCCAGTCTAGACAGGTTTCCATGCACCCATTTACAAATTTTTGGTATATAGAACCATTGCAAGGCATATGTGTCTTTCAAATAGTGTTCACACGACCTTGCCCTTATTTTCATGGTTCAGTGAACAACTTCAACTTCAACTTCGCTTGATTAGTTCAGTTTCTCAGAAACTATAAGTAAAATGTCAAAACCATTGCTAAATTTATCAGGAATATATATATTTCATTGGTGAAGGAAGATTCCGCCTTCGAGAAGTTAATATAAATTGGTACCTTGCAACTGACTTATTAAGTTTATAAATATTCTGCTGTTGTTCACATGATCTTCTTTAAAGTTTGAAACAATACAAAATGTCTGGTCCGTTTTTTCATAATTGAAATTGTATGTACTTTGTTCTGAATACTGCACACAATCATGTCGTCTTATAGTGTTTGTGACATTACTGTCTGAATCTTCTATGAAGTACATCAACCAATATTAGAGTTTAGGACAGCAATATTTCACATGACAAAGTTTAGTATTTTTAAATTTGCTTACTTACAGTCACTATATGCATTATTTGATGCGGTAAACAAAATTGTAGTTTAGTTTTTGTTTGTTGTTTCTTTTTTATTTGGTAGTTGCTTTTCTTGTATCCTTTTACATTCCTTTAGGTATAGTTCACTAATCGAAATTAAAAGGAAGTATAGAGATCTAAACAAATTAGTTTAATCCCGCCATAAATTCATGTACCTGTCCCAAGTCATGAACTTCATCAGTGGTTGTGATAGTTCGTGTCTTATTTTATTTCCTCAAGAAAAATTGATGTTGATGGCTGATATTCTTGGTTTAATTTTCTCTCAACATTTCAGACTAGTTGCGACTTAGTCATATTGTATAGAAACTTTTGTAAGGGACTGTATGTTGCCCTCTAGATATCTTTGTTATTGTGTAGTTGAGTTGTTGTCTGAATAGGCTCACTCCTTGTTTTCTTTTATATTAACTAAAGCAAGGATTTGTATAGTATACAAATCCTTGACTAAAGTAAATGGACAGAATATTTTTAAGGTGTACATGTCTGTCCAACAGGGTTCCTCTGACCTTGATCTAATAATTTCATAGTCCATTGGTAACCTTTGCATTTTTGTGATTAGTTGAATCTCTCGGTACAGAAATATAATTTTTATATGGAATATGTTTTATTTCTTTGTTTTCATGAATATACTTATTATCAGCCTATAACCTGTCTATTTGAGAACAAGTCCCCGAAATTTTGAAACTTTTTTTGTATTATATTGTTCTGAATTTGAACAGTATCCTAAACAAATTATCACAAAACTAAATACAATTAGTAAATACCAACGTTTCCCAATTAATGTTTTTTTTTCAAATTTTCAAATTCAAACAAAAGTTGCATTGATTAATTACACGTAATTATCTATTGCACAGTTACACAGGTGAATTACTATCAAACAATTCCTGATTGTCCAACATTTAAACTTCCCAATTGTCCCGCAAACATCTCCCCGATTGTCTCACATAATTCCACTACTTTTTGACCTGTAATTTAAAAAGTGGGACATTGCTAATTAAATTATAAAACATGAACAGACGTGTATTTTATCACTTACCTGTAAAAAAGTTAATCAATCAATATGTAAACCTCGAAAGTTGAAGTCTCTTTGATGAATTATTTAGTTGTTTATTGGATTTTAGTAGTTAAGCGGGTACAGTAGTTTGTGCAATATTTTTTAAATATGGTTGACAACATCTATATATGGATCTTCTTAATCTGGGGTAAGTCCAAACATTTTTTATTGTTCCACATAATTTGTGCTCATCTTTTAATTAATATACTACGTCTCGAACTACAATAGTAGTCCAACAACAAATACCATAGTAGTCTCAGACTACATACTTATTGTATTCGTTCTCTATGACTTAAAATGCTATTTGATATGATTCGTACGATCCCGTTGGTATTTACATAAAAAAGACGACCTGTCAATCTCCCTTCTTTGTATTGGAAACCATTACGTCACAAAAATTTGTTTTTGAAGAACGATAGCTATAGCAGACTCGTCTAGATGTTCGACCAAATTCTTAATACCATTCTTTCTACAACAAAAAAATAAATATTGTGATGCTTACTCTACGATCGGTTGATTCTACTTATTTATTTTTTTAACTTAGATATACTACAAAATCTTTATTTTTTTTTAACTTAGATATACTACAAAATGATTTTAACACAGGGGTGGCGCCTTCAAACGAGTTTAACCCCGCCACATTCTGTATGTGATTGTCCCAAGTCAGGAGCCTTTAATTCAGTGGTTTTCGGTTGTTGCCGTTCATTATTTTGTACATAAATTAGGCCGTTAGTTTTCTCGTTTGAATTGTTTTACATTTGTCATTTCGGGGCCTTTTATAGCTGTTGAAGGCCGTACGGGGACCTATAGTTGTTAATTTCTGTGTCATTTGGTCTCTTGTGGAGAGTTATCTCATTGGCAATCATACCACATCTTCTTTTTATATTGACATTAATAAAACTACTGAACCTAGAAATTGGCACAGATGGACGACTTCAAACTAGAAACAATATAGACTCTTGACAATTACAGTTTTTCCTTGTCAACATGAAACAATATAACACCAGATGTAAGATCTAATCCATCAAAAATCACACTTAAAACATTTTTCAAATCCTTATATAGGAGAGAGTCCCGTCATATTATAATGGCCAGATTATTTATACTATAATCAGGTAGTACTGCAGTGGCTTAAATCTGGGAACAGTATATCTAACAATATATATGTTCCTGCTTAAATCAACATATTTTCCATAAAAATATTGTTCATCCTAACGTTTGTATATGTTGACAGGTTGAGAATAGCTAACACTTCCTGCTTAATTTATAGAATCATATTGACACTCTACCAAGTGGGATTATTATACTATATATAGTATAATAGTCACAGCTACCAATAAATGTTAAAAAAAACAAATCTTAGCATCGTGTAGCGAACTTATTAGTGAAGAGGAAAACGAAAATATCGTTAAAGTTGTATAACATTATAAGTCCTTTTATTTTTATGTTAATTTATATTTTTTAACTTTATAATTCAACTTTATTTTGTGGAACACAGTCATGAATAAATAATATATTCACAGCAAA